GCACCCGGTGGTGCCAGACTTGCCTAGTTCCGTAGTCTTCCCGGACCGGGAAGCCGCCCGGGCCGTTTTGGAGGAGGTAAGAGTTCTGTCCCTTTCCAGCGCCCAGCGTGGCATCTGAACCCTTCAGATCAGAGAACTGAACCAAGAGGCTGGTCTGTAAAGCCGGTTCTTGCCTGGGTGGTTTGTTTATTTCCGTTCGCAAATCAGGTAGGGAAGGTGTCCTGTATGCCAGGCAACTCTTTCAAGATTCTTGTTTGCAAGGATCTTCCTACCTGCTGTGGAACATAGACCTACACCAGGCCACGCGATGCTTGCTGTAAAAGCATCCCAACAGCACTACAGAGGGAGTAAAGGGGTTGCCGGGAGTAAGGGAAAATAATGTCAGCTGGGAAGTAATTTTATTTGCTGATGATCAACATTCAAGGATCTTGGGGTGAAAAAGAAAATGCATGAGTTTAGGCGGTTTAAGAAATTTAGACTTAAATAGTGTTTACCTACCGACTGGCCATGAACCTTGTACAGGTTACTCAACTACTCTAATGTTGACCCTTTGACTTGTACAATTCCTGCCTTGCGGTGTTGTCCTGATGATTAAGGAAACATCTGACTGACAGCAGGTACTCAAAGAAAGAGACTGAAGATTCTTTCTGATCGCAGGCTAGGCAGATTTCCTCCTGTGGCACAGATGACCCTTGAGGATGCCCCATGGATCTTGGGAATATTTTCCAAGCTTACGGGACAGCGTTGTGGAGCAGTTAAGAGTGCAAGATCAACCACGTGTATTTAAATTTAAACTCTGGCATTTATTAACTGTGTCACTTTGAGCAAGTTTCTTCAACTCTCTGCCTCAGTTTCCTTAATTCATACGCTAGGAATTATAATAGTACCCCCAACCACCACCTCAAAGCTATCACAGAGATTGGCAACTGACTACTTGTAAAGCACTTAGAAGATTGCCTTGCTCAGAGCAAGCACATGAGTGTCTGAGCCTCGCTGTGAGTTGCCGTGAGCGTGCAGTGAGATAATGCACATTGAGGAACTGGAAATTCCCAGAGGGACGCTGCTCTGCTAGCTTTGTGATTGCTGTGCTTGGCTCTTTTGCTCAGTCTCCTGAGTGGCTAGGAGAGGACATGCTGCAGATGCAGACTGCTATCTCCAGCTCACTGTGTAGCGGATTTCCCATTCTTGTGACACTGTGTTCCCAGTGGGCCTGTAGTTCCATGTTGCTGTGTCACAGGACACTAATGATGTGCCTTGTCTGGCCTTTCTCAGAGCTGCTCAGTGAGGGCTGCATGCCACCGAGCGATCCAGACAGGGACAGCTGTTTCGAGCCTCGGCTACTCAATATAAAATAAAACACTCCAGTCCATCCTAGCATCGAATACTCTGAATTTCCATGGTCTGGCACGTTCTCAGTATAACTTAGGCCTATAATGTTGTGCTCAGCAATTTAGGTGTGATTTCTGCAAAAGCCCCTGTCTTCATTGCTGACGGATAGACGTTGTTTTACAGTGTACCTCCTTTATTCCTGAAGCCCGGGCGGTGCTTGACCTGGTCGACCAGTGCCCAAAACAGGTCCAGAAAGGAAAGTTCCAGGTTGTTGCCATCGAAGGACTGGATGCCACGGGTGAGATAATATTACCTTTTAGTTATAGGCAATGACACTAACTGATTAGGTGCAGAAACAGAAATACTTCCTGCAAAACAAAACTTTATATGGAGCCTTCTGTGTGCCCCTGCTGTGTGGCAGGCCCTGTGCTAGGCAGGCCCTGGGATGCAGAGATGAATAAGACCTTCAATATGAAGCAGCATGGTGTGTGGGTGCGAACCCTCAGTGGTCTGGCGGAACATAGGGAGGGCACTGAATCTGGCCTCTGTGGGGCTTTGTGGGGTGGAGTGCGTGATACCTGGATTGTATTTTAAGTACAGATAGGAGTTGGTCAGGTGATGAAAGCAGGTAGCATCCTCCAGACAGAAGAAATAGCATGGGCAAATGTGCAGGGGCTTGAAGCAGGGTGATGTGTCCAGGAACCACAGGCAATTCTGAGATTCTTCTGGAGCAAAATGTGGAAGAACTAGGAAATGCAAGAAAAAAAACCTTCTGAGCTGTCAAACTGAGGTCAAAATACAATGTGTGCTCACATTAGCCCAAAGTACAAAAGGGACAGAAGTGCTGCTCCTGTGGCCCAGGACACACCGAGGGGAGGGTTAATGCTGGAGAACTAGCATCCAAGTGGTTCAGCACAGGAGTTTCTCCTCCTGTGTAAACTTGAGGGGTACAGACTTTTAATAATATAAAAGGCAATTTCCATATGGAGGCACTTGTGTACCCAGCTAGGGAGATGTGGTCCATGTTGACCATCCTGGCTCCATATGAAGGATCGGGCCATGCCCTGGCCTTCAGGGAGACCAGCTGTCATCACTCGGGTGTACTGGCTGTGCCCAGGACCAGCCATAGTTTCTTTCAGCTGCAGAGGGAATTGTAACATTATCAGTCCTTCAGCTGATGTGTTTTGTTGATCATTTATTTTGTACCCACAGCTAATTTAGATTTGGTGGGATTACAGGAGATATAAAAATTCTGCCTCAACACCAGCATCCACACATACAAATGTTACAAGGAGATAGCATAGAGTGGCAGAAAGAACACAGGCTAGTGGTTCTGTCTGCCCTGCATTTGCATCCTGCACCAAGGCCTGCCAGGAGGGTGAGTTGGGGTAAATTTGTTAACTTCTCCAGTGCTCAGTTTCTTCATCTGTAAGATGATTGAATAATAACTATTTTGCAGGGTCACTGGGAGAATTAGGAGCATAACGTGCTGAGTACTTGGCTCCTAGTAGACACTGAGAAATGGTAGCTACTGTTAAGGTCCATCCTGATAACCCAAGAAAAAAAGAAAATAGTTAGTTGGCAATAAAGTGTTAAGTATGTGATAGAGAAACTTATAAATAAATTGAAACAGTAGGAGCTCAGAGAAACTAGTGCACAGTTTGCTGGAGTAGATCATCTTCACATCACCACCTGTCCTGAGCTCCAGGCAGCAGCTGAGAATTGTGAGATGGGCTCTGGGAAGGGGCTAATCTGTCACCTGAGGTTGTGCAAGGGGGAGTCAGAAAGTCAATGAGGCCTGAGCAGTGCCTTTGAGGAGAAGGCTGAAGCCTAAAGCAGATACAAAAGCTCTAAAGGCCAAGCCCAAAGGGGCAAGCACGGGAGTGAGTGGTAGAACCAGGCCTGGAAATTGGAAAGGGATTGCACAGAAGTGGAAGCAGGGTTTGAAGAAGGTAGAAAGAGAAGAGGGACGAGAAGAGTCGCTGTGGATGCCAGCTGTGGGTTCATCAACTACAGACAGTAAGATGAGAGAAAGTCTTCAGGGTGGGGAACATGGTAAGAGGGTAAGCAGTAGCTGGGCTGCCGGGAATAAAAGTCATACATAAAAGGGGCTCTTGTATCTAGACTCCCAATATCAGATTTGATCACTAACAGGAGTTTTTCCTCCAGGTTTCCTAATACCACACAGAGGAATCCTACCTTCCTATGGGTCTATAGCTTTTTATAAAGAATCCTGTTATTTAGTCTGCTCATTTGATTTGCAGGTTGAGAGAGTGTCTGTGCTCTTTCTACAGCAGTATTAACTTTTGGGCTGTGGTTAAGATGTGTATACTTTGTGTATGATCCGCAGGTAAAACCACGGTGACCCAGTCAGTTGCAGATTCGCTTAAGGCTGTCCTCTTAAAGTCACCACCCTCTTGCATTGGCCAGTGGAGGAAAATCTTTGATGATGAACCAACTATCATTAGAAGAGCTTTTTATTCGTTGGGCAATTATATTGTAGCCTCTGAAATAGCTAAAGAATCTGCCAAATCTCCTGTGATTGTAGACAGGTGGGTATAAAGATGCCTTGAATTAGGCCTTTTCTCTCTAATATATAAGAGTGTGTGTGTGTGTGTGTATACATACATGTATATGCCAAGAAAAAATTGTGTTTAAGTCAAACTGTATTATGATAATAATAGGAATTCTGCTTATGAATTGTTAATTACCTATACCAGGCACTGGCATTTGCTGGAGAATTACATATATAATACTAGTATCTGGAACTATAACTTGGGTAGGTGAATGTTAAATGCTATTCCCAGTTTACTGATGAGAACTGTAGATCTCAGAAAGGTAAAGTAACTTGCCAAGGTAATAGCAAGCTGGAAATAGCATACTGGGAACATTAATGAGTCTATACTTTCAGTCATTCATTTGTTCATTGGCTTATTCAACAAATACTTACTGGACACCTCCTGTGTGCCAAAGACTAGTCTCAATTCAGAGGATTCAATGATAAACCAGTGTATTAGTCCATTTTCATGCTGCTGATAAAGACATACCTGAGATTGGGCAATCTACAAAAGAAAGAGGTTTAATGGACTTAGAGTTCCATGGGGCTGGGGAAGCCTCACAATCATGGTGGAAGGTAAAAAGCACATCTCACATAGTGGCAGACAAGAGTAGAGAGCATGTGCAGGGAAACTCCCCTTTTTAAAACCATCAGACCTTGTAAGACTTATTCCCAATCATGAGAATGGCGTGGTAAAGACCTGCCCCCATGATTCAATTACCTCCCACCGGGTCCTTCCCACAATACATGGAAATTCAAGATGAGATTTGGGTGAGGACACAGCCAAACCATATCACTCCCTTCCTGGCCTCTCCCAAACCTCATGTCCTCACATTTCAAAACCAATCATGCCTTCCCAACAGTCCCACAAACTCTTAACTCATTTCAGCATTAACTCAAAAGTCCACAGCCAAAGTCTCATCTGAGACAAGGCAAGTCTCTTCCACCTATGAACCTGTAAAATCAAAAGCAAGTTAGTTACTTCCTAGATACAGCCATTACAAATGGAAGAAATTGACCAAAACAGAGGGGCTACAGACTCCATGCAAGTCTGAAATCCAGCTGGGTAGTCAAATCTTAAAGCTCCAAAATTATCTCCTTTGACTCCATTTCTCACATCCAGATCATGCTGATGCAAGAGGTGGGTCTCATGGTCTTGGGCAGTGCCATCCCTGTGGCTTTGCAGGGTATAGCCCCCCTCCTTGCTGCTTTCGCAGGCTAGTGTTATCTGCAACTTTTCCAGGTGCACGGTGCAAGCTGTCAGTGGATCTACCATTCTGGGGTCTGGTGGACAGTGACTCTCTTCAAACAGCTCCACTAGGCAGTGCCCCAGTGGGGACTCAGTGTGGGGGCTCCAACCCCACATTTACCTTCTGCACTGCCCTAGCAGAGGTTCACTATGAGATCCCCACTCCTGCAGCAAACTTCTGCCTGGACATCCCCACATTTCCATACATCCTCTGAAATCTAGGCGGAGGTTCCCAAACCTCAATTCTTGACTTCTGTGTACCTGTAGGCTCAATACCACACGGAAGCTGCCAAGGCTTGGGGCTTGCCCCCTCTGAATCAAGAGCCTGAGCTGTACCTTGGCGTCTTTTGCTCAAGGCTAGAGTGGCTGGGACACAGGGCACCAAGTCTCTAGGCTGCACACACCAGAGGGACCCTGGGCCCACAAAACCATTTTTTTCCTCCTAAACCTCTGGGTCTGTGATGGGAGGGGCTGCAGCAGAGATCTCTGACATGCCTTTGAGACATTTTCCCCATTGTCTTGGTGATTAACATTTGGCTCCTCATTGCTTATGCAAACTTCTGCAGCCAGCTTGAATTTCTCCTCAGAAAATGGGATTTTCTTTTTATTATTATTATTATTATTATTATTATACTTTAAGTTCTAGGGTACATGTGCATAACGTGCAGGTTTGTTACATATGTATACTTGTGCCATGTTGGTGTGCTGCACCCATCAGGGATTTTCTTTTCTGTCACATTGTCAGGCTGCAAATCTTCCCAACTTTTATGCTCTTTTCCGTTTTAAAACTAAATGCCTTTAACAGCACCCAAGTCACCTCTTGAATGCTTTGCTGCTTAGGAATTTCTTCCACCAGATACCCTAAATTATCTCTCTCAAGTTCAAAGTTCCACAAATCTCTGGGGCAAGGGCTAAATGCTGCCAGTGTCTTTGCTAAAGCATAACAAGTGTTACCTTTGCTCCAGTTCTCAACAAGTTCCTCATTTCCATCTGAGACCACCTCAGCCTGGATTTCATTGTCCATATCATTATCAGCATTTTGGTCAAAGCCATTGAACGGATCTCTAGGGAGTTCAACCTTTCCCACATTTTCCTGTCTTCATCTGAACCCTCCAAACTGCTCCAATCTCTGCCTGTTACCCAGTTCCAAAGTCACTTCCACATTTTTGGGTATCTTTTCAGCAGCACCCCACTTCTGGTACCAATTTACTGTATTGGTTCATTTTCACACTGCTGATAAAGACATACCCGAAATTGGGCAATTTACGAAAGAAAGAGGTTTAGTGGATTTACAGTTCCATGTTGCTGAGGTCTCATAGTCATGGTGGAAGGTAAAAGGCACATCTCACATGGCAGCAGACAAGAGTAGAGAGCTTGTGTAGGGAAACTCCCCTTTTTAAAACCATCAGGTCTCATGAGACTTATTCACTACCATGTGATTCAATTACCTCCCACTGGATCCCTCCAACAACATGTGGGAATTAGAGCTGAGATTTGAGTGGGAACACAGCCAAACCATAACAATGAGATAGATTATTCCCTACTTTCATTGAGCAAACTTAACATTTTAGGAGAAGAAAAGTATCAAGTGAACAAATACATAAAATAATACATAAGATGAGATAAGACAATATTAAAGCATGATAAGTGCAGGGAAAAGGAAAAATCAAAGTAATGTGTTAGAAAATGGCTAACCTCCCACTAGATATGGTTTAGGAAGGCCTGTCTGAGAAAGCACCATTAGTCAGAGCCCTGATTTAAAAAAAAAAAAAAAAAAAAAAAAAAAAGCCAAATGTGAAAATTCCCAGGTAACAGAAAGCAGTGTGGAGAGAGGAATCTGCAAGAATGAAGCTAAGACTGAACTGAAATAAACTAACATATCTGACAACTAGAAAATGGTCTATGTTCTGGAAACGTAGTAGATGAGGAGGTGCTCTGTGGATGAATGGGAAGAGGAAGGTTGGGGGAGATCTGTAGGGCCTGCAGGCCATGCCATAGAGTGGATTTTATTCTGAGTGCACTGGGGAGCCACTGGAATGTTTCTGATAAAGGAGAGACATAAACTGATATGTACTTTAAAAATTCATCTGTAAGAAATAGCTTTAGGTCAGGTGCAGTAGCTTACACCTGTAATCCAAGCACTTTGGAAGGCTGAGGTGGGAAGAGTGCTTGAGCCCAGGAGTTCAACACCAGCCTTGATAACATAGTGAGACCTCATCTCTACAAAAAATAAAAAAATAGCTGGGTATGGTGGCTCCCAGTTGTAGTCCCAGCTACTTAGGAGACTCAGGAAGGAGAATCCCTCAAGCCCAGGAGGTCAAGGCTACAGTCACAGAACAAGAGGGTGACAGAGCAAGAGGGGCCTTGTCTCAAAAAAAAAATCCCAAAAACAATAAAACAAAAAAGAAGAAAAAAATAGCTTTAAAAGTACTCTAAGAAAGGAGAAAGAATATGACAAGTAGGTCATACTGAACTTACATCACGATGGCACAGGGATGAAAAGATTACAGTCACTGTGAGATTCCATTTTATTCCCATCTGGATTTCATTTTACTCCCATCTAGTTGGTGAAACTACTGTAACTAAAAGTTTCCTCATATGATATGGATCAATAGAAACTTTCATATGATGCTGGTCAGAGCATATCATATGATACTGGCATAATCACTTGGAGAGCAGTTTGAGAAGATGTAGCAAAGTGGAAGATTGCTCCTGCCTGTTGAAGAAACACTCACAAAATTTCTTTCAGCTTCCTTCATACTGTTGCAAAATTTGAAAAACCTAAAGCCCATCAACAGGAGAAAGCATGAATAAATACCAGCATATTTATAAGGTGGAGAACCATACAGCAGAGTGTAAATATGTTGTGCAGTGCATGAGAGCACACACATTACAAAACCATAATGTTGAATGAAAATGTCAAGTTGCCGAAAGATGTTCAGTAGAATACACTCACAGTTATTCATACTGCAAAGAGTAGAGAAATGAAAGGATGTTGAAGCAGATTTAAGAAAGTTGTTCTCTGGGAAGTAGAGATAAATGTGGTTGATAAGGAGTTCAGAAGGACTTCGACTGTGATTGGATTATTTCTTAACATTTCTTGAATGTTCATTTTCTCCAAAGATTTACTTATTTTTGTAAACATAAGCAATTGCATTGAAGTATGGCATAGTTGGTAAATAACATTAATCATAAATGTAAATCTCAAGGAATTTCAAGAAGTCAACACAGCCAAGTCACCTGTACTCGGATCAAGAATGAGAGCCTGCCACAGCCCTTACACCCCTGTTCTGCCCCCACCCAGTCATTGCCCATTTCATCCCCAGGGGTGGTGACTGTCCCAACTGACATAGCCATATATTAGTTCTGCCTGTTCTTAAACTGCCTACAGATGCAACTATTTGTTAGGTATGGAGTTCTGTTTGCGCCTGACTTCTTTCATACCACATGTGTTTTGAAGATTTGTCTCTGTTATTGTGAACTAAATTTCATACATTTTTGGTGCACATATGGATGCCATTCTGTTGCATAGGTTCCCGGGAACAGAACTGCAGGGGCATGGGGTTTGTGGCTGGTCAGGTTTGGTAGGTGTTGCAAAAAGTATTCTAAAGGGGTTGAAAGAATGTTGAGTCTCCTCCCCTCCCAACAGCTGTGTTTGTCAAGTCCCTGTGACTAACCACCCTGTTGACATTTAGTATTAGCAGGTTTTCATTTTGACTCCTCTAGCTTTTCCACTTGTTCCTGGTGGGTAAGCTGGTCACTGAAAAGCTGATTTGTGATATCGGGACACAGAACTACTACTCCTTTCTTGAAACTGTATCTTTCTCTGTACACTTTTCTGTATGTCTGAAATATTCCATCAAGAGACCGCCCTGAGTGTATGTGGAGAATAAAGTGTGTGGTGGGGGAGGGGCAGGAAAGGAAAAAGAATCAGCTAGAAGGCTGTTGCTACAGTCTAGACTGTGATGGCCCATGAGTCGTTTTAACCCTGGGATGACAATGGGGATGGCAATGGGGATAACACAATAAGAATTTCAACGTTGGCAAGTTATGTGGAATCTTAGGATGAACTGAGAAGGATACGAATTCTCGATCGTTTATGGGAATGCTTTGCCTGGAAAATGTTTTTGCCCTATTGTTAATGTGCCCGATGTTATCATATGTGATATCTGTATTAGTTCATTCTCACACTGCTATAAAGACATACCTGAGACTGGGTAGTCTATAAAGAAAAGAGGTTTAGTTGACTGACAGTTCCGCATGGCTATATGGGAGGCATGGCTGAGGAGGCCTCAGGAAACGTACAATCATGGCAGAAGTTGAAGAGGAAACAATGGCAACAGGAGAGAGAGAGAGAGAGAAAGAGAACACGAGAGAGAGAGAGAGAGAGAGCCAAAGCGAGCGAGCCGGGGGAAGTGCTATACATTTTAAACCCCCAGATCTTGTGATAACTCACTCCCCATCATGAGAACTGCAAGGGGGATGTCTGCCCCCCATGATCCAATCAACTCCCACCAGACCTCATCTCCAACAATGAGAATTATTAGGTTGGTGCAAAAGTCATTGTGGTTTTTGATATTATTCTTAATAGCGAAAACTGCAATGACTTTTGCACCAACCTAATACACTTTGGCAGGAGATTTTGATGGGGACAGAGAACCAAACCAAATTGATATCTTTTTTGATACAGTCCTGTATCAAAACTATTTTAAAAAACTATATCACACTGTTACTGTAAGATAAATATCTAATTCTTATCAGATACTGGTTATAACTAAAGCCGGATCATTGCAAATTATGATAGGAGAATACAGGACAGCACTGAAAAGGACTGAAAAGCACTGAAAAAACTAAGGTTTTCCCAGCAGGGTATGACTTTCGAGGTACACTATTTCCTAGGATGCCTGCGGATCCTGAAGCAGCACTGGCCACTGTGTGCAGGCAGGGATTTCTGCGCTCTGTTCCCCAGTTTTCTGATCTGTTAAGTGGGGATACTCATGCCCCCTTCCCTTCCTACGGTCAGGAGTTGTGATGAAGATTCAGTGAGTGGATGTGTGTGGAAGTGCCCTGAAAATAGGGAATTGCTATTAAAATATAAAGCATTATAATATGAGCTGTGTATGTGTTGGCAAATTGCTTTTGATTTGAACTAATGTGGCTTCCCTGACGGCAGGATTGGAGAATACTAAAGAGTGGGAAGCGTCTGAAATTGATGGGCTAAGGGTATGATTATTTAAAACAAGCAGCTGTATTGTCTAGGGAGAACTCTGTAGAAAACAGGTTCCTAATTCTTCCTTTGATTTGTCTTCTTTGTGTGTGTGAATTGTCTGCAATTTAGTTCTTTAAAGAAATGCTGTATCACCTTGTCAGATGAAAAGAGCAGTTATTTGTTGTCTTTGTGGGTTTTGTTCATCTTTAAAGATTTTGATGAAACCCATTGTAGACAATACCATCATCTAGCTGAAAAATATGAGAGACAGTAATTTTTAATGGGACTGTGGTTAGGGTTGGAGACTTAATCACCCCTATTACCTTTAAAAATCTGTTCTTGCTGGTGATTTTTCTACAATAAAGAAGACTTTAAAAATAAGATGATATCAGACTCTGTATTCATTGATGGGCATTTAATTCAGTGAATCTGGAGCATGCGCAGACCATGGTGTAAATTATAGTTTAAGTACCAGAAAAAGAAAACTGAGACCCTGATTGGCTTTTTTGAGCTTGCGGGACAAAATCCGTCTGACAGAGAAGCTGAAAGTGCAAGTTTGTGAGTAACAGGAGTTGGGTAAGTGACACATAGGAAGGTATCCAGGCAGAACTCACAGGAGCTGGCAGTGGCCTGAAGCTCTCAGAGCACACTTTTGAAGGTGTGCAAGGGCTTTGAAGGATGAATGGTGTCGGGATTATCAACTCGCAAGTGAATTTTTTTCTTGCGTCCTTTTCAGTGCTGTCCTGTATTCTGTTATCATAATTTGCAATGATCTGGCTTTAGTTATAACCAGTGTCTGATAACAATTAGATATTTATCTTATAGTAACAGTGTGATACAGTTTTTTTTAAAGCACAGAGGTCCAGAGGAGAGGTTGCAACAACTATGGAAGGCAAACAAACCTTGCATGATCTCTGTTTTCCAGATAAGGAGATTGAGGCTGTATCAGCTAAGATGACTTTTACCTATGTCTACAAAACAAGTGGGGCGGGGGGCACAGGCAGAATGACACACAGTTCAGGTGACACAGGGAATTTATTATGTGGATACCACTGTGTACTTTCCACTGTGGAGAGGAGTTCAATTCTACAATGATCAAAATTTTAGGATTTTAAAGAATTGGGCCAGGCATGGTGGCTCACACCTGTAATTCCAGCACTTTGGGAGGCCAAGGCGCGTGGATCACCTGAGGTCAGGAGTTTGAGACCAGCCTGGCCAACATGATGAAACCCCATGTCTACTAAAAATACAAAAATTAGCTGGGCGTGGTGGTGCATGCCTGTAATCCCAGCTACTTGGGAGGATGGGGCAGGAGAATTGCTGGAACCTGGGAAGCAAAGGTTGCGGTGAGCTGAGATCCTGCCACTGCACTCCAGCCTGGGCAACAACAGAGTGTGAGACTCCATCTCAAAAACACCAAGAGCAAAAAACAAAAAAACAAAGAACTGAAGGTGTAGGAACTGACATGGCCTTTCCAGGTTTTTAGTCTGCCAAGACACAGCCCTTAAATACAAATGAACTGCCAAACAGGTTCATCGTCCCCTGTCACCCTCCATTCTTTCATAGAGGAACTCGGACAACAGGACCAAAAAGATGTGATGGCGGAGGCCACACTAAATGGTAGTTTGAGATACGTCAATGGAGCTGTGTGAAGAACACACTGCATTATTACTGTTGTCAATTTTATGTTTTAAACAATATTGTATAACATTTTTTAGTTTATAAAATTTAATTTTATTTAACTTATTCAATACTAGAAAACCGTCTGTAGAGCCAAACCTGGTTTCATCATTCCCGGCTGCTGATTTTCAGATGCTACTTTGGCTTCTTCCGCAGACAGAGAACTCACTACCCCATTCCTTCTCAGGTACTGGCACAGCACTGCCACCTATGCCATAGCCACCGAGGTGAGTGGGGGTCTCCAGCACCTGCCCCCAGCCCATCATCCTGTATACCAGTGGCCAGAGGACCTGCTTAAACCTGACCTCATCCTGCTGCTCACCGTGAGTCCTGAGGAGAGGTTGCAGAGGCTCCAGGGCCGGGGCATGGAGAAGACCAGGGAAGAAGCAGAACTTGAGGCCAACAGTGTATTTCGTCAAAAGTAGGTGTCCCAATGCAATGTGAGTGGCAGGCGTTCCTGAAGGGAGATGAGCCACTGGCACTGGCTTTAGGATTGTGAGGAAGTGATACTGTTTCCAGTTTTCAAATGCAAGAGGCAACATCCTCTAAGTTACTTCATCCCCTTCCAATGGGCTTGTCACCACAGGTCTGCAGCATTGTTATCTTAAAGCAAAGGTCATCAGACTAGGGATCAGACCCTGCCGCTGATCCTGGCTGTGCTAGGAGCAGCTGCACCTGGGTAAGACAGTAAGTGACTGTGCCTCAGTTTCCCCAGTCATAGCAAAATCACACAGAGCACTAGATAATGAGCTCACAGTAACATTTACCTATTAGATGCTTCCCGTGTGTCAGGCATTTTACTGATGTTATGTCATCCTTGCGAGGAAAACATTAGCTGCATTTTACAGTTTACAACTTTAAGGCTCAAAGGATTAAGTGATTTGTCTAAATGTATGTAACTATTCAGTAGTAAAACTGGGATTAAAATCTTTCTGATTTTGCAGCCAGTGTTTTTGTTTTAATTAGAAAGTTATAAACACAACAGCAGAAGAGAGTCTGGCCAGGCCTCCTGCCTCATGACTGAGTATGAATCAGTTCTACAGCACTGCCTTTAAAAACTGAAGCAGAAATATTTTCTCTAACTAAACAATGACAGCTCTGTTACCATAACATAGTAATGTTATGAATAATGGTAGCTGCTGTGGGTTAAGATACTGTGCTAAGCAGTTGACTTGTATTAATTCCATTAAACTTCAGTGAACATTTGCAAGGGAGGTATGGTTTCAGTCTTCATTTTGCAGCAGAGGAAACTGAGAAACGGAGGATAAGAGATTTGACCAATTCACTTGGCTAGGAAGTAGTCAAGCAGAGTTGTGAGTGCAGACGATCCACCTCGACACCCCTGTTTTAACTGCAGTGCTGTGAGGATTCCCTAAAGAAATAGGCACTAGTCACTCTGTATACACATGAAGGCTAGCTAGCATGGAAAGGATATGTAGATTTCTGGCAAAATATTAGAAGTGTCCCATGCATATATTAAGGACTCTGGCTTGTATGAAAATTATTCAGGGCACAGACTTGGGGGAAATTTGCCACTGAACAAATTACCTAAATTCTTTGAGCTTCAGTTGCCTTCTCTGCAAAAGAGGGATGACAGTAGTCTCCCTCCTAAGGTTACTTTGAGAATTAAATGAGAAAAATCATGCAAAATGCTAATGCTTGGCAGAAAACAGGTATTCAACAAATGCTCGCTATTAAACATTATTATTCATTTATTATTTATTAAACAAAATGCATCAACGTCTTCTGTGGGCAAAGCTAGTTACAGTGAGATAAATGACATGGGAAGCTTGCTTCAAGCTGTTTATGCTGTGGTAGGAAACGAACATTAATGCAAATAACTGTGTGAAAAAGTAGACCAACTCTTTGTGTTTTGCCTGTCCCCAGGGTAGAAATGTCCTACCAGCGGATGGAGAATCCTGGTTGCCATGTGGTTGATGCCAGCCCCTGCAGAGAAAAGGTCCTGCAGACGGTATTAAGCCTAATCCAAACTAGTTTTAATGAACTGTAGTTACTCTGGCCAGGTGCCATGTCTAACTAGATTAGATGTTGTTTGAAACATCTACATCCACCATTTGTTACGCAGTGTTCCCAAATTTCTGTTGTACAAGCATGTTGTGTGGCAGAAAATTGGAGACCAGGCATCTTAATTTTACTTCAGCCATCATACCCTCTTCTGACTGATGGACCTGTCATCACAAAGGACCCTCT